AATGCATATGCTCCAATCGGGGGCCAGTGTTGCAGAAATGCATCTACAAATTCGCTCTGCGGGTCCGGTAGCCAGCTGTAGTACCTCGGTAGTTGGGTATTGCGCGAGGCAAAAAGGTCTATGTGTAGTGGTCCTCTGAGTGCTCTCACCATATTGAAGATCGTTGTGTCCAGGTGCCAATCGCTGTTGTCCCACCAATGACAGGAGAACCAATCCGCGGTGAGATTGTTGAGACCCGGTAAGTTTTCCGCTCTGATAGTTATGTTGCGTGGAAGACAAAAACGGTATATGTCCTTCGTAGCCTCTGTCAACGCTCGTGACCTGGCTCCCCCCAGATGATTTACGTACTGGACTGCAGATATGTTGTCCATGTGTAGAAGTATGCAGCAATTGGACATGTGTTTGGCTAGACTGCGGATAGCGAAGGAGCCTGCTATCAGCTCTAGGCAATTGATGTGCAGCAGCTTTTCTCCTTCTGACCAAGGTACCCCCGTGGATGCGTGTGCGCAGTGGGCTCCCCAGCCCCACAGGCTGGCGTCCGATTCCAGAATGAAGTCCGGGTTCGGACCGAATATGGCTCTGCCGTTCCAAGCTTCCATGTGGAGGAGCCACCAACGAAGTTCCGTCCGAACTTCTGCAGTTATCCCAATCCTTTGGTCGTATGAGTGCCCCCATCTTAGGTGGTAAGCTTTCAGTCTTTGCATGGCCCGGTAGTGGAGGGGTCCCGGGAAGATTGCTTGTATGGAGGACGACAGCAGCCCGACTATCCTGGCCAGGAGTCTCAGAGGGACCGTGTCTTTCCGCAGGAAACGCCGTATCTCCTTCCGAATGTTCGCAATTTTCGATTTGGGAAGACGTAGTGTGCATGTTACCGAGTCTATCTCGAATCCGAGAAAACTGGACGGTTTTCGATGGAGAGAGTGATGACTTTTCTCTGTTCACAATGAAGCCTAATGATTCCAGAAAGTGCACTATAAATCTCGTCTGAGATTGAAGTCTGGATGCATTTTCGCAGAATATCAGTATGTCGTCCAGGTATATCAGGCAGCGGATACCCATTGTCCTCAAGTGCACCATGGCCGGCTTCAGTAGTTTCGTGAAGCAACAAGGGGCGGAACTGAGACCGAATGGGAGGCATGTGAATTGGCACGTGCGTCCTCTCCAGCGGAAGCGAATGAAAGGTCAGCTGGAATGGGCTATCGGAACCGACAGGTAGGCATCCTTTAAGTCCAATCGAGTGAACCAGTAGTGCTCCAGAAGCAAGTCTCTGAGGAGGAGTATGCCCTTCATTTTGAAGTGTCTGTAGGTTACGAATGTATTTAGTTGTCGCAGGTTGATGACGGGTCGGTAGTCTCCCATCTTCTTCTGGACTACAAATATATTGCTGATGAAACCCGTATCGTCTGGAGCGAGTTTGACTGCTCCCTTGAGGAATAGGTTTCGGATTTCGTTGTCTATGATTTTGATATTCCCCACCAACGCCCGTATCGGTTGCGGGCCACGTGTTTGGGTCGGTTGTCCGTAAAATCGATCTCGTAACCCCTGATCGTTTGGAGGATCCATGCGTCTGAGGATATCTTTTCCCAATTCTGTGAAAAGAGAGACAGTCTGCCAGCAGTGACATGTGATTGGCAATACATTAGTTGTGGAGTGCTCACCTGTATTGATGCGCCCGCGGCCTCGGGTACGAGCCCCTCTGGGACGGAAGGATTCTCTAGTGAACGGTGGTCTTGATGGGAAGAAAGCTTGAGTCGCTTGATTCCTGGGGCCTGTCGGCCAGAAGCGGCTGGTGGCTCGGCCCCGTTGGCGACCAGCCCTGCCGAAAACCCCTCTATACGGTGTGGGGTTGCGGAAAACTTGCTTAATCGAAGTTTGTGCTTTATTTAACGTAGTGAACAAATCCACGTGTTTTTTCAATTCACCAATGAACGATTCCCCAAACAGTTGGCCGTTGGCCCGTGGTACCAATTCCTTTTTACCGAGTTCCAGGAGTTTGGAATCCATCTTCAGCAACGCAGCCTTGCGTCTCTCTTCACATAGGGCGGCGTTAGTATTGCCCAACATGCAAATAGCGCGTTGCACCCATTCCCGGATGTCGTGGGCGTCTAGGACATTGCCTCTTGTGAGGGCCCCATCCGCGAGATACAAGATTTTGGCTAGTGGGCCCAGCATGTCCAGTAGCTTGTCTTGGGAGGCCTTGAGGCCCTTTTCAATGCCTTTACGTGGGTCACGGACTGCTCGTGACATGAATAAGACCAAGGTGGTATCGAATTCTGGGGTGTGTGCAATTTTGTCCGGTAGTATGGGTCTCGGGCATTTGGCCTTTAGCCTTGCACGCACCTCCTTTTCCATTGGCTGTCTCAGCCACAAGTGGATAAATTGGGCCAGGTGGTCTGGCAGGCCCCACTCCGATGACCTTGGGTGGCGGATTGTACGGGGGTCAAACATTGGCGTGCCTTGGGGGTCCAGGAAAGCGCCTTCCTCCGGTCTGTCCGCCTGCATGCGGGACTTCCTATGCCCATGATGGGCGTCCTGGTCTTTGACCAGGTCAGACCCTGGGTCACCTCGGGGCATGTCTAGCAAGTCGTCTTCCTCAGAAGGGGAGTCCTCTGCTCTCCACTCGTCCATAACCTCCAGTGAGGGTGGAGAATTATGTTCCTCCTCATCGGAGGACGTCAGTGGAGGGGCTGACGGCTCCTCTTTAGTTGAGCCTTGCCCTTCGCTTTCCGTGGGGCTGGGCCACTGCCCTTCCAGTGCCCCTTAGAGGTGGCAATTTCCCCTGTAGACCTATCTGGGTCTTTAGTATCAGGGTCCCCACTCGGGGTCTGGACCAACAACTTGGCTATAGCCTTCTCTATCGAGGCTGCCACTGCTGAGTTAATCATCGACTGGAAGTCAGGTGGGGTTGGTTGCGAGGACTCACTCATTCTTATGGCCGTAGGTCTCTCTGTCTGTGGAAGACAGGATAGGTTCAGGTAATAGTAATAACAGTAATAGTAATACTGTGGCTTATCACTTACGACTGGGGTTCGCTTAGTGTATTCAATGGACCCAATTGGTTAATTCATAGGTCTTGTTAGGTATAGCACCGCTGTCTGCAATCATGGGCTAGCGAGGGGGTCACCCTTCGTGAGACCGGGATGAGCGGTCATAAATAGGAATTGAGTCCATCTAGGCTGTGTCGCCTGATAGTGATATGGGGTGTGCCCAATTATCATAGCCCAGTGGAGACCAATTGCAGTAGGTTCCGCCTCCGTTGAGTGGGAGGAATTTACGGGTCACCCCAGTCGTAGTGTGGAGGGTGCCGGTAATTTGTACATGCAATATATTGTAGGGGGGTCACCCCGAATCTTTTACAGCTTTGGTGCGAGTATAGCACACAAGTGGGGGTCACCCAGCGTAGGGGGGTCACCCCTTTAATAACAATAACCAATGTGCTTGTGGGGGGTCACCCCACTCAGTGGGGTCACCTCTGGAAGAGTACACTCTGTAGTGATGGTATGTGTAATAACCAGGGAGTGTATCTTTAATTACTTATACTGAACAATGTGAATATTAGGCAGTGCTGCCTCTACAGGCAGTCCTGTGTTTCACAGGCTGCAGTGGTCATATGCTGAATAGGCATCCATGCCTGTAAGAGGCTGATTACATCAGGGATTTCCCTGTAGACTGGCAGGCTGAGGGTAGTGATACTGGGGAATGGGCAGAGACCGTTTGAGTCACGGTCTGCCAGAAGGTAAGATGGCCGACTTGGATCTC